AGTCTGCAGCTATGAGAGTTGGACCATAAAGAAGGCTGAGCACCGATGAATTGATGCTTTTGAACTGTGGTGCTGGAGAAGATTCTTGAGAGTTCCCTGGACTGCAATGAGATCAAACCAGTCAATCCTAAAGGAAATCAACCCTGAATATTCATTAGAAAAACTGATGCTGAAGCTGATACTTTGGCCACCTGATTTGAAGAGCCTGCTCATTGGAAAAGACCTTGATGCTTGGAAAGACTGAAGGCAGGAGGAAAATGGGGGCAAAGGGATGAGGTGGTTGGATGGCATCATCAACTCAATGGACATGAGTTTGAGCCAACTTCAGGAGAGCATGAAGGACAGGGAAGCCTGACATGCTGCAGTCCATGGGGGTCACAAAGAGTCAGACGACTGAGCCACTGAGCAACAGTAACTCTATTTTGACTTTGGTTATAATTTTCCCTTAATAGCCTAAGTGACTGTCACCATCAATGATGTTAGTATTTCTCTAGGTATGAGGAGATGCAAGAATCAGGGCTCATAAAAATCTCCTCCTGAAGGTGTCTAACTATCTGAAGGGCTCTTCGCCAGTTTTTCCAGAGCACAGAGTGCCTCATTCCTAATTTCCACACTGAATTCCTTTCAGGGGGTTTTGAAGATAGATGGCAAGAGTCCCTTCAGGGTCATGAATCTGACCATGGTTTGGGGGCATTACATGACCATTTTCCCCCATGGTGCTAGGAATGCTCATTCCCAGGCCTTGTGAAAATTTTATTAACAGGCCACTCAATGTGTTGTTACTGAATTAGGCACAGTTCAAAACAGTATTCAAAATTCAAAACAGTACAAAACAGTATTTAAAATTCACTGGACAACCTGTACTTACTAGCCTCTTGGTCCACAATAATATTCCCTTTTGTTTTTTCACCCCATATCTAGAGTTACACCTTTGCAGTCATTGATTTCATGTGAAAATGTATACTATCATTTTATCACTGGTTTAGTCACACATTTGGTAATGTAAGGGACAACAATTTTTTAAACTGTCAATACAGAAAAACAATGTAGCTAACAGTAATAGTAAGGTCATGGGCTTCCCTTGTGGCTCAGATGGTGAAGAATCTGCCTGCAGTGCATGAGGCCTGGGTTCAATCCCTGGGTTGGGAAGATCCCCTGGAGAAGGGAATGGCTACCCACTCCAGTATTCTTGCCTGGAGAATTCCATGGACAAAGGAGCCCGGTGGGCTATAGTGCATGGGGACGGAAAGAGTCAGACACGACTGAGCAACTAACACTTTCAGTTTTCAATAGCAAGGTCATAAGTATGAACTTAAGTCAAGAACTTCCATTAGTTGTAGCCCAGTATATACCTAAGTCATCTGACTTCGACTGTTCTGTACCAATCTTTATTTCTTAGGGAAACTATATATTGGCATTGTCCATAAGGCACCCAGCCTGTTTTCTAGTGTTGCTAGACTGATTATCCTTAGCATGATTTAGTTGTTCCCAGCATAGAAGAGAGTTTAAATTACCATAGCCTGATGTTAACTACATAAATCCATCCCATAGTTGTGAGAGGTTTTATTCCTTGGTTTAAATTTTGTTTGTTGTTTTGACTGAACCTGAGCAATAGAGGAAAATTCATATTTATGGCCAAGGTCAGAGCTGGCATTATTAACTGATAAGGTGAGGGGATCTTATCTCATAATATCAATAGTGGCCTGAACATGACTATATTTGTTTTTCATTTCAGATAGATTTCCCAAGAGTCAACAATTAAATCCTTGGAGAGGGGAAACCCACCAAAGTAACCCAGAAGTGCTAGACACAGATAACTGACACAAACCCAATACTTGGATTGATTTTTAAAACTAGCAATAGCTCAATTAAACTTTTTAGCAATGTAACACAACAGCAAGGAACTCACTGGGAAGTGAGCCTTGATAAAAACAGACCTTGATTAGCAAAGGTAGAATTTAATATCTAGTGAAACAAACTTTTTTTTCTTCATTGTGAGGGCACTAACCTCAAAATCAGAGAAGGCTTTATATCATCAAATAAAAATGAGGTTTGTCAGGGGGCTAGGAAAACTCAAGCAGCCATCTTGGATGCCCCATAGACCTGACTGGTTGATTTAAACAATAGTTATTCACTTAGCCAAATGACAATGGAAGATTTCAAAGGCATTTCAACATCTTAAGAAAACTTGTTGCTGCTATTGTCGTTCTGTCACCAGGACATGTCTGACTCTTTGTGACCCTGTGGGCTGCAGCACGTCCGGCCTCCCTGTCCCTCAGCATCTCCCAGAATTTGCCCAAGTGCATGTCCATTGACTTAGTGATGCCATCCAACCATCTCATCCTCTGTTGCCCTCTTCTCCTTCCACCTTCAATCTTTCCCAGCATCAAGGTCTTTTCCAATGAGTCAGCTCTTGTCATCAGGTGGCCAAAGTATTGGAGCTTTAGCTTCAGCGTCAGTCCTTCCAATGAGTATTTAGAGTCGATTGCTTTTAGGATTGACTGGTTTGATCTCCTTGCAGTCCAAGACACTCTCAAGAATCTTCTCCATCCCCACAGTTTTAAGGCATCAGTTCCTCGGCACTCTGTCTTCTTTATGGTCCAACCCTCACATCCATACTTGAATACTGGAAAGACCATAGCTTTGATTATATGGGCCATTGTCAGCAAACTGATGCCTTTGCTTTTTAATACATTGTCTAGGTTTGTCATAACTTTCCTTCCAGGAAGCAGTTGCCTTCTAATTTCATGGCTGCAGTCACCATCCCAGTGATTTTAGAGTTCAAGAAGAGGAAATTTGTCACTGCTTCTACCTTTCCACCTTTATTGCTTGAAGTGATGGGACCGGTTGCTATGATATTAGTTTGTTTGTTTGTTAGTTTTTTTTTGAATTTTGAGCCCGCTTTTTCACTGTCCTCTTTCACCTTCATCAAGAGGCTCTTTAGTTCCTCTTCACTTTCTGCCATTAGAGTGGTATCATCTGCAAACCTGAGGTTGTTGGTATTTCTCCCAGCAATCCTGAATCCAGCCTGTAACTCATCCAGCCTGGAATGTCATATGATGATTCTCTGCATATACGGTAAATGAAGAGGGTGAACATATACAGCCTTGTGATTCAATTTTGAATCAGTCAGTTGTTCATTATAAGGTTCTAATTGTTACTTCTTGACATGCATACAGGTTTCTCAGGAGACAGGTAAGATGGTCTGAGATTCCTATCTCCTTAAGGATTTTCCACAGTTTGTTAATCTACACATTTGGGATTCCCTGGTAGCTCAGCTGGTAAAGAATCTGCCTGCAGATGCAGGAGACCCCAGTTCGATTCCTGGGTTGGGAAGATCCCCTGGAGAAGGGAAAAGCTACCCACTCCAGTATTCTGACCTGGAGAATTCCATGGACTCTATAGTCCATGGGTTTGCAAAGCCTGGGACATGACTGGGTGACTTTCACTTCACACAGTCAATGGCTCTAGAGTAGTCAATGCAACAGAGGTAGATGTCCCTCTGAAAATCCCTTACTTTCTTTATGCTCAAACGAATGTTAGCAATTTGATCTCTGGTTCCTCTGCACAGACACTCTAGGATGTCTGGCTCTAAGTGAGTGACTCCACCACTGTTGATATCCAAGTCATTAAGATCTTTTTTTGTACAGTTCTTCTGTGTATTTTTGCCATCTCTTCTTGAATTGCCAGGGGAAAAGTGAGCACTACAAGTGAGCCCCGAGAGGACCACACACCCCAGAACCGGGGGGACCTCACAGAGTTCACCCCACCTTCCAGCACAGAAGGCCTAGGGCTCTGCTACAGCTGACACTGGATATGAGCCTTTGTTACCTCTCACGAGGACTGCAGGAAACTAGAGATGAAGACCTAGGTCTGAGAATGTGTCCTGAGGTCACAGGGTACAAGGTCCAGGCAGTGTGAGGAGTCAAGGTGAGGCGGGCACCCTTAGTGTGCACTAAGGGCTCCCCATCCCAGAATACACGGGACCCAACATGCCACAGATCACTTCCCCTTTCATCCCATGAAATACTGGCTATGCTGTCTGCACCCTTGGGCACCATCTCACTTCCTCACTTGACAGGAGAAAGTCGACCAAGGAGGAGCGCCCTTGTGAGGCCCAAGAGCAGCCCTCAGGAGGGGATCTTTAAGTGGCCTGAGTCAGAGCAGGCCAGGGCATGTCTCTCAACTGACCATTTACCACCCACCACCCCACCAGGCCCGCGGTCCCCATCTGTCCCCCTGCATCACTCCTGTCTACAGTTCAATCCATCATCATGCTCATGGTCGAGACGAGTGAACTCAGCAAACCCGAGGAAGACCTTCTGGGCCAAAACCAGGCCCAGGGCCCAGTGGAGGCGCAGCTCATGGGGGCTGAGGCAGAGGAGGCCTCAACCCCTCTGGCCTCCTCCTGCCCAGTCTCCTCTTCCTCTGCTGTTGCCCATGCAGAATTTTTGCTCAAGAAAGCTCTGAATGTGATGACAGCTAACCTAATGGGTTTCCTGCTGCTCAAGTATGGCAACAAGGAGCCAATCTCCCAGGCTGAAATGCAGAATATGGTCCTCAGGGATAACCAGGCCCACTTCCCAGTGATCTTACATAAAGCCACACAGTGCCTGCCGCTGGTCTTTGGCATGTATGTGAAGGAGGTAAACCCCAGGGAGCACATCTACTTCCTGGTCCCCACCCTGGGCCTCACCCTCAATGAGATGCAGAGGGATGGGCAGAGCATGCCCAAGGCTGTCCTCCTGGTGATGGACCCGAGCCTGATCCTTCTAGCAGGGGACCTGACCCCGAGGAGGAGGTCTGGGGAGCACTTAGCAGGATAGGGAGGGGGTGTCTGGAGTGAGCACTGCATCTTTGGGGAGCCCAGGAAGCTGCTGACCCAATATGGGTGGGGAGGGGTACCTGGAATGCCAGCAGGTGCCTGACAATGACCCAGCTCACTTTGAGTTCCTGTGGGGTCCTCGGGCCTATGTGGAGACCAGCAAGTGGCAAGTCAGGGCATTTCTGCTCAGGGTCAAACAAAGGGCTTTGAGGGCCTTCCGACTCCTCTCTGCAGAGGCTGAGGGGGAGGAGGAAGAGGGGGCCTGAGCCAGAGCAGCAGTCAGGTGATCCTTCCGTCTGTGATTGAAGAGGAAGCAGTCAGCCTTCTCAGAAGTGAGGGCCTGGGCCAGTTGGGGGAACCAGTGTGAAGCATCTTTGTGTTCCTCTTCTCTACGATGACATGCAGATTCATCTCTCTTTTCTTTAGGAATTTTTCAAACTTTGGCTGTTTTAATGGAAGGATAAATAAACTTCAGTGTCTTAGCTTCGTAAATGATGCTGATCACAGTGTGTTTGTGCTTACACAGTTCAAGAACAAGAGTTTTGCTCTTTTTTAAAAGTGACTGGAAACTCATCTATTTTGTTTTGTGACCCTGAACAAGATGAAATGGAATTGGAATAGAACTATTTCGGAAATGTGAAAATACTTAACAGTAATATCACTGGGGCAGGAATTATGACTTAAAATGTAACTGAGGTGAGTTCTTGCTTCTTATATTTCTCGTCTGTCATTTTATACAGTTAAGCTATCCCCGTTCAGTTGGACTTTTGGGGTTATTATTTAAGAAAGTAAAAAAATAAAATCTGATCCAACTTAATAAGTTCCCTGTTCACTGGCTCATTTATTCCACATTTATTACTTCATGGAGCCTGTGCTCTGTGGAAGGCCCTGTGTTAGCAGTGGGGACACTAGGAGAAGCAGGACACCCCCACACCTAAAGTGATGATCTAAGAGCTACAGTCACATGAAGAAGGTGGAGAGACGTCCCCTAGTCCTACAGAAAAAGGCAAAATGGGGGGGGGGGTGTTGGGTCTCCAAAGAGCACTCGAATGTCAGTGCCTGAGCCAGGGCAGTTTGGGGCTTTGGGAAGCTGGGTTCCTTCTGTGGAAAGTGATTGTAATGAGGGTGGGTGGTGACAGCAGCCAGAATTATACACAGTGTCTCATGAGTGAGAAGAATATCTGAAATGGGGCATATACATTAGAAGATCCTCTTCTGTCCTAGATGAATTTCCTGGGGCAGGAAGGGAAAGGACACTTTGGTCAGAAACAGACACTTGCTTATGCTGCCTGATCTAAGTACACCAAAACTTTCAAAATGGGGAGGGGTGAGTGGACTTTTATTTGCTGCACAATCTACTCAGTTTTGGGGAATATAGTTGAAAAAGTCTTAATAAGCACCCCTAAACTTTTGTCTGATTTTAATGGAATACCATCTTTGAAACTGGAGGCTGGGCACTTCAACTGATGGATCAGCTTTTCTAGGTGGTTAGACCATAAAGCCATAGATGAGGAGGGGTTATGGAAACCACAGTGGCAAAACCTGCACTGAACTTGAATTCATACACCTCAGAATCATCCTTGGAGGTGAAAGGAGGTGCATATCCTACCTTAATTTTATAAAGAAAACTCCCACTGTCCTTGTCCTCCCACTGTCACTTATCTGATCCCTGCCCCTCATGAAGCTCATGACTATTGGGGAGCCTAAGGGCACCTGTGCAGTTGCTCAGGCAAGTTCTATCGTGTGGAGGCAGCCAGAACTCCTGGGGACTCCCAGGGGGAGACTGTGCCCTGGCATCAGGAGGCAGGGTCACATCCTCAGCCCGCTGAGATTGTGGCCAGGCATCACTGCAGAGGGAAGGGCAGAAAGAGCACTGGAGGGAGCCGGGGGGACCCCTCCCTGCCATTCACAAGAGCCTTGGAACCTAAATCAGATCTTGCATTTGAAAGTGCCAATACAGAGTGGTAACTAGAAACAGTTGAAGTTCAAGGCACATTGGGCTTTCTCAGAAACTCCTCGACACACATCGGGAATTGTCTTCATCACAAGCTATAGCAAACAGCTGCTGTCTGTTTAGCACCGAGTACACTGCAGGGCAGGGGAGAGACCCCAGGTCCTTGTTCACATCTCTTCTCCCTCGGCTTCCTGGAAGCTGCGTGCAGGAAACATGGGGCCCTTACGAAAACCTACCACAATTTGGAAATAAAGATGCGATTAATTCAATTTTTTTTAATTAATTCATTGGAAGGACTGATGCTGAAGCTGCAGTTCCAATATGTTGTCCACATGATGTGAAGAGCCGACTCATTGGAAAAGACCCTTATGCTGGGAAAGATTAAGGGCAGGAGAAGAAGGGTGACAAAGCAAGGGATGGTTGAATGGCATCATAGACTCAGTGGACCTGAATTTGGGCAAACTCTGGGAGAAAGTGAAGGACTGGGAAGCCTGGCGTGCTGCAGTCCATAGGATGGCAACGAATGGGATGTGACTGAACAACAAATTCAGTGTTTTAAATACAGACAAAGGTTTTATCTAAATAACAATAGCACGTTGTTTGGGGAAAAAGCATACCATTTGCGCTTTGCCTGGGGTGGGGTGAAAATGTATTTTGGAGGCAGGTGGTGCCATATCCATGGGAGTGAGCTCCCCAGAAGCAGGAAAGGCTCCTGTCTGACTGACTGATGGAAGTTCTGTCCAGGCGCCATCCATTCAGGGCCAAGAGTGAGGACCTGGGCTCCTCCCAGTGGCACAGTCAGAAGGTGGGTGTTTTTCCAAGGACTACTGTTGTCCTAGAGCCCTCCAGGACTGTAGTGATGTAGACATGTGGAAGAAGAAGGAGAATTTTGGATTCTGGGCACTGCAGATGCTATCTTGGGGGTGGTACAGCCAGAGGGACTGAGGATGGTGGAGAGCCCTGGGAGCAAGGGGCAGGGATTGAGAGAGTCAATTCCTAGGCGGGTTGATAACAAGTCCGGGTTCTCCGAGGAGGAGAAAGGGGTTTGGGGCTCTCAAGGAGGAGATAGGGGTCTGGAATTCTCAAGGAGGAGGAAAGGACAATTTTTTCCCCTCTACATTTCTTAGTCTTAGTCACATAAAATGTTTTTTTCCTTTAAGTCTCAAACTGATGATTACACAACAAACAACTCAGCTTAAACTCTGTACTAGGGATTATATAGCAACAGTGTATCCTGCTTGAGGACAGCTTCTCCTTCCAGAAAACCTTCTGACTAATCCTGATATTTTACAATGTATATTATGGGAGTGGGTCTCATAGGATCTATTGTTAAGTTCTTGTCCTGTTATCCTAAAATGTAAATTGTGGGAGTGGGTCTGGTAAAATTTTTACAACCTTAAGACATTCTTTTGATTAATTGTAATAACCAATTATTAAAAAGTATATAACTGCCTTGCTAACACCAGCAATGGCGGACTCTCCGTCCCCCTTCTGATGTCTATCCGTCTCCCTTCTGATGTCTATATCAGAAGCTTTCTCTGTCCTTTTTCTTACTTTAAGAAAACTCCACTACACAACAGCTCTTGAGTGATCAAACCTGGTCCCTGGTCCTGAAGCTAAATCTTCTTTGGAGATCACAAATCCAACATCATTCACAATAGGCTATCAGGATGCAGCCTAGGAGTCTGGAGCTGAGCTTAAAGCCAGAACCACATGAGGACCACACAGTCCTCACCCTCTGCCCTCCTTCTGGGGTCCATTCTTCTCTCCCCTTCCCTTCTCCATGTGGCAGGGTCAGGCCAGGAGAAGAGGAGACACGTAGATGGGGAACTGGCCCAAGAGCCTCAGGATGATGAGAAAGAAGCTGGGGGTACACGAGACTATGAAGGCCATTTATACTGAAGCAGCCTCTAGAATCTCAGTTTCCTTCTCTAACCAGCACAGTCGTGAAACAAACCACTCTGTTTGCACACTAGGAGGAGCTGGTGTATTTGTTCCTTTTTCATGAAATGTCACACTCTGTACCTCCCCTGATGTAAGCAGGGGTGGTGGACTTCATACAAGGGGCCACCCTTCAGGAAGCAAAGTCCAGGAATTCCTTCCTGCCACCTGATCACTTTAGCTCTCAGAGCAGCACGCTTCTGTTGTCTCAGAGCTCTTCGGTCCTCCTGACAGTGCATTGGAGGCAGCAGCCCAAGTGGACCTGTAGGATGGTGGCACCCTGTCCCTGGCTTCCAGCCCAGAGCTCCCATCAGCCCTATTGTGGACCCCTTGCCCCTACTGTTCCCAACCTGGCCTCACTGTCTGCATCTTGGGGCTCTACTTTTCCTGTCCCTGTCCAGACAACCTCCCAGCCCAAGATGGGCACAGTGTTGGCATTTCCCGGCAGGTCGGTATGTGAAGGTCCCCAGATAATAGTCCCCTGTCACAATTGTTGTGATTCAGATAAGTGGACAGTGGAGGTCACTTTTGGTGAGTGTCATGACGGCTAGTAAATAACAACCCTGTGCGATGTGAATATTGACAAAAGGTTATGATTATGAATGACTGTTCAAATGATTCCTTAATTCCCAATCTTTGATGAAAGTGATCAGCGAGGCTGGGTGGTAGAAGGCTGTCCTTTCTGAGGTTTAGCCAGAAGAGGGTTGCCAGGATGATGTGTCAGTCACCCACAGAGCCAGAGAGGACCTCAGTGTCCACAAATAAGCAGTTGGAGCAGAAGAAGGGCTGTAGCAGATGACAGATGTGGTCACCAGCTTGCTCCCCAAACCCCATCATCCCCAGACTCAAATGAGGATTGGAAATAGCTGGCTTCATCACACTGTGTTGTTCATCCCTGTGTGGGTCACGGGCATTTCCTCACTGGAGCGGTAAGGGAACCCTGGCTTTGAAATACGGAGTGTAGTGCTTGTTCATACTCCTCTGCATTACTGTGTGATACACAAATATTCTAATTATAATAGCAGTGGTAAATGCTTACTAGTTGTGTTCCGTTTAATTCACTGGGTCAAGAAAGTTATCTGACTTGCCAAAATAACCATCAGGGCACAGAAGCCTTGAGATATAGCTTTGTGATTGAGTCCAACAAAATACTCGGAAGTCATACTCCTTGAACTTCGGACAGGGCACAGCGATCCCCCCTGCCCATGACTTCAACCTCCAAAGGCTAAGTCTCTGTGTCTAACTTGCATTTCATTCTGTTGTTCACTTCTGGTGCCACTTCAGATAACAATGGTCATAGTAATTTTCAGAAGGCAGACATCAAAAGGGAAGACCCTGCAGAGATCAACCTAATCAAGGTGAGGGGGTCAG